TTTTGACGTGAAGAGGGTATTAGTCGATGGAGGGAGTGCGGCAAATGTCCTCACCTGGGATGCCTTCTTGGGTCTAAAAATCCCTCAAGAAAGGTTGAAGGTGGTGACTACCCCCCTACAAGGCTTTGGAGGGGCAACAGTGATACCGGAAGGGACTGTAGAGCTTTCAGTCACGCTTGGGACATACCCAGCGACAGTGGTGATCGTGACTAATTTCTTGGTTGTCAAGACCCCCATGGCTTACAATGCTATCTACGGCCGACCATTGCTAAATGCAGCTGGCACGGTCCCATCGACATACCATCAAATTATGAAGTTCCTAACCAGCAGGGGGATCGGCAACGTGCGAGGAGACCAGCATGCATCAAGAAAGTGTTATGTGGATAGTATACAAGCCAAAAGCCCACCATCAGTCATGATGCTGGATGTAGAACTCCCGAGGGAGCGGATCGAGCCGCTTAATATGATTGAAAAAATCTTTATTGACGAAGGAAAGGAGTTTCTTGTTGGAACAGGTCTGGGATCCGAAGAGAAGGAAAAATTGGCGAAGTGTCTAGCCGAAAATTTGGATGTCTTCGCTTGGAACCCAAAGGATATCCCGGAGATTAGCTCAACTGTCGCGCAACACCGCCTCGGTGTCCAGCCAGGGGCTAAGCCAGTGAAGCAGAAAAAGAGAAACCTTGCCCCTGAGAGGCAGGCTGCGGCCAGAGCAGAGGTGGAAAAATTACTATAGGCGGGTTTTATCCGAGAGGTGCAATACCCCGAGTGGTTGGCAAATGTTGTACTTGTGAAGAAGTCAAATGGAAAATGGCGCATGTGTGTAGACTTACTGGGTTGAACAAGGTATGCCCAAAAGACTCATACCCACTTCCCAGAATAGATCAATTGGTGGACGCAACGTCGGGTCATGAAAGGCTCAGCTTTCTAGATGCGTTTTCGGGGTATCATCAAATTTCAATGGCCGAGGCCGATCAAGAGAAGACGTCATTTATCACGGACTTCGGCACGTACTGTTACACAGCCATGCCATTTGGCTTGAAAAACGCAGGAGCGACGTATCAGAGGATGGTGAACAAAGTCTTTCGTGGGCTAATCGGGGATGTCGTAGAAGTCTATGTTGACGATATGGTGGTCAAGAGTGCCAGAGCCAATGACCATGTGGCCTGTTTGCAAAAAGGGTTTGACGTTGCCCGACAAAGCAGATTAAGGTTCAATCCAGAGAAGTGTGTTTTTGGTACCGCAGGTGGAAAATTTCTAGGTTTCATGATCACGCAAAGGGGCATCGAAGTGAACCCGGACAAAATTCGGGCAATCCTAGAAATGAAAAGCCCCACCAGCAGGAAGGAGGTTCAGAGGTTGACGGGGCGGGTAGCGGCCTTAAATCGTTTCATGAGCCGGGCGGCGAACAAATGCTACCATTTCTTCAAAGCCATAGGGGGCTCCTCCAATTTTGAGTGGACCCAGGAATGCGAAGAGTCTCTTAGGAACTTGAAGCAGTCATTACAAAAGCCCCCGGTCTTGACCAGCCCATCTCCTGGAGACGTGTTGTGTCTCTACTTGGCAGTATCACCAAAGGCAGTCAGCGCGGTCCTGGTGAAAGAGTTCTCGAAGGAGCAGAAACCAGTCTACTATGTGAGCCAAGTATTGAGTGGTGCAGAAATAAGATGCAGCCTGACTGAACAGCTGGTGTTTGCATTAATTGTCGCGGTCAGAAAATTGAGGCCTTACTTTTAGTCTCACACGGTGCAAGTAATGACTAACCAACCTATCAAGCAGATTCTATATCGGCCCGAGACCTCTGGGAGGTTGTTAAAATGGGCCATCGAGTTAAGCGAGTTTGATATCGAATTCAGGCCAAGGACAGCTATTAAGGCACAGGTTTTAGCAGACTTCATCGTTGAGCTCACCACCCCGCCCGAGCTCCCACCAGGGGAGCAGGCAGATTCGAAAATTTTTGTCGATGGATCTTCAAATGACGAAGGATCCGGGGCGGGGATCATAATGATAGGTCCGAATGAAGAAGAGTTGGAATACTCACTGCATTTTGAATTCCCAGCAACAAATAACGAGGCCGAGTACGAAGCAGTAATCACGGGTTTGGGATTGGCAGCCAGACTCGGGGTAACCTCAGTGGAAATTTGCAGCAACTCTCAGTTGATAATCGGGCAAGTGACGGGGAAATTCGAAGCAAAGGATGGAAAGATGGCTGCATATTTAATGGAGGTCAAAAACTTGCAGAAGGGGTTCACTAAGTTTAAGATAACTAAGGTCCCTCGAAAGGACAATGAGCGAGCGGACGCGCTGGCCAAGCTCGCATCAGCCAACCCCAGACGACTGCCTCGCACAGCCAGTGTGCAAATTCTGCGACAACCTAGCATCCAACACGTAATCGATGTTATGAATGTAGAAAATGAGGAAAGTTGGATAGACCCGCTGTTTGAGTATCTCACAAAGAATAAATTGCCGGAGGATGCTCTCACAGCCAGAAGGCTAAAAGTTCGGGCAGCCTCGTTTGCCATCATCAATGGGCAACTCTACAAGCGAGGTTTCACAATGCCATATTTGAAGTGTTTGCGACCGACAGAAGCACAGGAGGTGCTAGTCGAAGTACATGCGGGAATTTGTGGCAACCACCAAGGGGTGACTACCCTTGCGTTCAAAACGATTCGACAAGGATATTATTGGCCTAGTATTAAGGAAGATGCTAGAGAGTTGGTGAGAAAGTGCGACGCATGCCAACGACATGGAAATCTGATCCACATTCCGGCCGAGCAACAGACGGCAGTTTTCGGGGTGTGTCCCTTCTTCCAATGGGGGATGGACATCTTGGGACATTTGCCCCTGTCAAAAGGATAAAGGAAGTTCTTGTTAGTTGCCGTCGACTACTTTACTAAGTGGGTGGAAGCTGAGCCTTTGGCCACCATCACGACTGCAAAGATACAGGGATTCGTCTGGAAAAATATCATATGCAGGTTTGGTATACCTCGGGTAATCATTACAGATAATGGAAAGCAATTCGATAATCACAGTTTTAGAGCCTTCTGCACCAGCTACCACATCGACGACAGGCTGACTTCAGTTGCTCACCCGCAGGCAAATAGGCAAGCAGAAGTGACCAACCGAACCATATTGTGGGATTTGAAGACAAGATTAGAAAAAGAAAAAGGACTTTGGGCTGAGGAGTTGCCCAATGTACTATGGGCATATCACACTACCCCCCGAGAGTCGATCGGGGAGACGCCATTCAAACTGGCCTTTGGGATGGAAGCCGTGGTTCCGATTGAGATCTTAAGCGAGACAGGAAGGATGAAAGTCAAGCAACCCGACGACGCAGCAACTAGGGGAGAACTCGACCTCCTCGAAGGGGTAAGGGACAAGGCGGTGATAAGAATGATGGCTTATAAACGAAGAGCCGCTAAGTACTTCAACCGGAGAGTGAAGTCAAGGGTCTTCCAGCCAGGAGATCTCGTTCTAAAAGATGCAGCAGCGGCAGGACACCCCCCACCAAAGCTTGGTCCAAACTGGAAAGGCCCGTACGAAGTAATTCGCAGGCTGGGAAAGGGAGCTTACAGCTTGAAAGATATAAAAGGAAAGCCGCTAGGTAGACCATGGAATGCAGAACACCTCAAAAAGTATTACCAGTAGAACTCAAAATGTACGCGCCGGCCGCGCTTTTGTAAATATAGTAGATTAGGTTGCATTGCTTATTTTCTCTATGTAATGCCTCACAAAGGCACCCTTAGTTGTAACAATTTATCTTATTCAATGAAAGACCTTGGCGGTGACGGATGATGAGGGCGCTACGGAAGGGCCAGCCTAGCTGGGACGTCCCGGTGCGCCTACTGAGCTCACAAGACCAGGAATTTTTTATGCCAACAGGCAACTTTGAAATCCACGCCCACCCCACTAAGACATGCGGTCGACATAGCCTACGCGGCTAGGTGGAGAGCCTTGAAAAGTCAAAAAATTGGCTAAGGCTCTTAGCCACCAAATCACCCCCTGCGGTAGACATAGCCTACGCGGCTAAGTAGAGAGCCTTGGAAAGTCAAAAAATTGGCTAAGGCTCTTAACCACCAAATCACCCCCTGCGGTCGACATAGCCTACGCGGCTAGGTGGAGAGCCTTGGAAAGTCAAAAAATTGGCTAAGGCCCTTAACCACCAAATCACCCCTTGCGGTCGACATAGCCTACGCGGCTAGGTGGAGAGCCTTGGAAAGTCAAAAAATTGGCTAAGGCCCTTAACCATCAAATCACCCCCTGCGGTCGACATAGCCTACGCGGCTAAGTGGAGAGCCTTGGAAAGTCAAAAAATTGGCTAAGGCCCTTAACCACCAAATCACCCCCTGCGGTCGACATAGCCTACGCGGCTAGGTGGAGAGCTTTGAAGGCTAAGGCCCTTAATCGCCAAATCGCCCTCTATATATATATATATATATGAACACTCCCCCGCACCATCAAGCAGTAAAAAGAAAAATAACATGAGAGACGACATTTTAAAGGAACCACGCATCCAGCGCCAATAATATCAAATGAAAGATATGTTTATACATTCGAAGAATTCTTGCCCACATCCCGAGCAAGTAGAGGATAACAAGGCTAAGCAAAAGTAAACGCTAAAAAGGAAAAAACTAGCAAGGAAAACAGCAACTAAGAAATGCTTCAGCTCGAAGGGGAGACATCCCCACTACCACCTTGTGATGAACGACCGAGTGATCTGGATGACTGAGCTACGCTCTCCTTCCCCTTACACTGGGCGAGAAATCTATCCAAGTCGGAGGGGTCTATAGAAGGATGTTCAGCCATAATCCACTCCTTGGAGAGCTTAATTGATGCTGACATCGCCTTCCCCCCGTATGAGTTCAAAGCCTTAGCATAATCGGACGATGTCTTATACTAATCCATAGCCGCCTTGAGATCTCCAGCGTACTCATTTGAGGCCTTATACCTCTCAACCGCCTCTTCAGGAGCACGAGCCAAAACAGAGCGTAGGTTGTCGATCTCCGTCTCTTGATCACGAGCTCGAGCGTCCGACATCTCCAGAGATTTCCTCAAAGAGGATATTTTCTTCTTGTGGTGATAAGCCTCCTTCTTCTTTTCTTCAGTAAGAGTTTTCAGCTTTGAGACTAGGCGGCGATTCGACTCAGCGAGTCCGATCTGGAGGGCCACCACCTAAAAAAAAATGTATAAGGGGAAAAAGAGTGAAACCACGAGTTAAAGTCTAACTTAAAAGGCGAGATCCAACATAAAAAAAAATCTCGAAATGAGAAACATACCCTCTGAAGGTAAACTGCCGCAGCCCTTTCTATGTCATCTGCGCTACACCCTGCAATCGCTTTGGATCGAGCGGGGGTCACCAACGACTTAAGCACCCCCATCTCATGATAGCCCCGGGTGGGAGGAAACCCAAAGTTAGGAAGCGAGTCCTCGCGCTCACATCGTGCACGACTAGGAGCTCCCGGCCTAGGAGTTGGAACCACATCACGAGGCTCATCTAAAGGCTGAGAAGTCTCGTTGATCGTCTGAGACTTTCTCCCAAGGTCGGCCCCTCTCCTTCTCTTTGAAGGGATAGGCAAAGGATCCACCTCACCCTCCTGCCCCTGGTCAGGCATGGAGTCCATGACTCCTTCCAGATCAAACTCGGCCCCTGCACATGTAAGTTGAAATTAGTTAAACTCACAAGGTAGAGTACAAAAAAAAGAGAGAGGGGGGAAGAGAGGGTGGGGGTGAATATGAAAGCTTACCATCAACGAGGGTAAGGCCCTCATCTCCTCCTGGCAGAGTCCTCAATACCTCATCAAGATCAAAGTCCATACCTGAAACAAACATCCAAGCTCATTAGTCTCGACGAGCTAAAGGCAAAAATAATAAATGACCGTGTGTGCATGCTAAAAAAAAGGGAGAAAGAAAAACAACATAAATGACCTACCGATTGGACGACTCATCCCCACTTTCAACATGTTCTTCATGGTTAGGACGACCCTAAGTCAGGTGCAAAGGGCGGAACATCAACCAAGTCCTGGATTTGAGCTTTTAGAAAGGGAGTAGCTTCTACTTGGCTATTGAAGAGACGAATTTGGGGGTGTCGCCAGTTTGTGTTCAAAGAAAACTGACCCTTTGAAGGCCAGACGAAGAAAAATCGGGACTTCCATCCGCTATTCGAATTCCTAAACTTAGGGAATTGCATAGGTACCCTAGTGGTAAAATAGACAAAGGCATTACATTGAACTAGCTCATGCATTTCGAAGACACACCTGAAAAGATCCATGGAAGGTGAAATTCCCTTTTCGAGACAGGCATACAGAAAATACAACGCTTTTCTCCATGCGTTAGGATTAATTTGACTAGGAGTAAGGTGGAACTCGTTGAAAATCGGCACAAAAAAGGGATGAATGGGGAACCGAAAACCCCCGTCCATAACATCCTTGTACATGGCTATCTCACAGGGGTCGGACCCGGAGAGCCTTTCTTTAGGACCAGGGGCTCTATAGACGTAATCATCAACCCGGTCATACTTTCCTAGACATTTTTCTAACTTAAGTGGCGAATTGTAGAGACTATAATTTTTTGGGATATCTAGGGGGACAACCTCATCGGCCGGGTCGCGCCCGATTTCCAAATTTTGGCCTGGAGATTTAGAAGAACCAATGTGTCTCTTTGGGAGATTTGGAACAAATGGCTGAGAGTCAATTGAATGAGTTTCACTATCACTATCATAATGGGATTTGCCGGATGAAGGGGGCGAGTCACTACAAGGACGGATCGAAGGACCGAACAAACCACAAGAATTAATGGATGGCGGGAGACGGCCAGCCCGTAGTTCGACCAGCCCCTTGGCTGGTCGACCGTCGACCAGTTAAGCTGGTCGACCAGCGGGGCTGGTCGAGCAACCAGCCCCGCTGGCCGACGACTGACCCCCCCGTGGGTCGGTCGGACTTCCTCCGGCACCCTCCGACGAAGGTCCGGTCGAATCACTACACCCCCATCACTTTTTTCATTGGAAGGAGAAGAAATGATAGTTTTATACATGACAACAAAAATGATGAAGAGAAGAAATTTAAAACAAGACCTTGGATTTAAATAAGGAGAGGAAATTACCTTAGAAGAGAGGAAGTCTAGGAGGTTGAGAGAAAATGAAAGTGATTTTCTAGAATGAGAATTACCCCCCTTTTATAACACTAGAATTCAAATTTTTTGGGGGGGAATTGGAGGGAAATCTCCCTCCAATATTAAGGCCATTAGTGAGGATCCATGTGTACAGTAGAATTGCCACTCGATCGTGTTTATATAGTTCGATTCGCTAATACGAACTATTCCTTTCTCTTTATTAAAAATAAATAAATAAAATTTCAAACCAACCTAAAATTGCTACCCCTTGCCGAAAACATCGACAAGGGATAGAGGGGCTAATGATATAGGTTGGTAGAAGTAGACACCCTCAAGGACAAGCAAGGCAGATCACGGCACACCGATGCAAGGCCATCGACCCTCATAGGGCGTTCTACCACTACATCTAGGGAGCGCTCTACCACGACCCCCAAAGGGCGTTCTACCATTACACCTAGGGAGCGCTCTACCACTACATCTAGAGAGCGCTCTACCACTACGTCTAGGGAGCGCTCTACCACAACCCCCAAAGGGCGCTCTACCGCTATCCCAAGAAATCATTCTACCACTAAGCGAAATCCTCAACGGGAATGATATCCCTCGTCCAAACACTTAGCCATAAAACCTTTAATGAATCGACAAGGTTACATGGCCGCTGATACAGGTACAATCTTCAGACGGGAAGTTAAGGACTCATCACTCAAAACGTGGGTGTAGTGGAAATATCGTCGTGGGACACGTGGCACCACAACCGCCCAGCGGTTACCTAGTGCCTAATATCTATAAATACCCCCGGATGAGACACAGGTATGGGATGATTTTTTTTGAGCTCCCATTCTCGTTTTTAGCCATCTGATTTTCAAATATATTCTTTCTAAATCTGAAAACTAATTCTCACGCCGGAGGTAAAATGGGGGAGAAAGCCCCGCCTTCATTTTTCAGGTCTTGCACACTTGACGAAGTGGTGGAAACGCCAAACATTACCGGGTAAACAGAAGGGTGTTGAATCACCTCCTTTCAGATAGTATCAACTTCTCCAAGATCCATCATTTTGAAAGTAAAGTATATAAATAATTTTGTTTCTTTGATCCCGTCTATATTATTGTTGATGATTAGCATATCATCAACATATAGACATACCAACGTGAATATATTTTCATTCACTTTCATGTAGAGACATTTATTTACCGAATTATGATTAAATCTATTTGACATTATTTTAGAGTCAAATTTCTCATGCCACTTTTTGGGAGCTTGCTTTTGTCCATATAAGGATTTAATTAATTTGCACACTTTATGTTCATTTTCCGATTGAACGAACCCTTCTAGTTGTTCCATATAAACCTCTTCTTCAAGACCTCCATTTAGTAACGCCGTCTTGACGTCCATTTGATGAACATGTAAATCATAAATGGATGCTAATGCAAATAAGATCCTAATCGAGGTTATCCTAGCTACGGGTGCATATGTGTCAAAGTAATAAATTCCTTCTCTTCGAAGATAACGTTTAACCACTAATCTAGCCTTGTAGGTATTAAGAG